TCAGGTTGATATCAAGATATTTTGATTTAAAGTTTTAATAATTTTTATTTTTACTTAGTACGAATGATCGTCATCACATGATTAAAAACCGAGCACAGATTCTACATATGCCTATCTGAGAACCTGTATCTCACGCTACCTGCTGCCATAATTAGAAGTTTTCTAACCAGGGCCCAAAGCATGTAAACAATACAAATCTTTTAAAGGAGGTATGCTAATTCTCTCACTTTTTGCTTGTTGAAAGTATTTCTAAAAAAAAACTTCAAGAAAAGTGAGAATATGGTGGAAAATTTTCAAGGTCATAACTATTAAAATTTTTTAGTGAGTGTGTTGAAAAGCTCATTTGTTGTTCTTCTGTTAAATGTCTAAAGATACTTCATTAACAAAAACTGCTTTGCATTTCTATTAAAATTTCCTATACAAGAGCACCTTCTTCTGCCAGTTATCTTGTATAGTGATGCTTTTGGCTTGCATGCCAAATATATAAAGGAGTCCCTTATATAGTAGTAAAGTTAACTTTTATAAAAACTAATCTTTAGTTGCATATTCCTGCCTGTTTTTAACAATTTTTTGCCTTTTGTCGATGTGAAAATCTTGGTGCAAGAAATCATAAAGAAGAGTTCATTATAAATGTACTATACCCTAATATATTTACTTTATTTATAATATACTGTATAATATAGATAGTATAATATAATTTTTTTTTTAAATATTTGGTAGTATGCTTTAACTTTATTAGGCTTTGTACTATACTCGTGAGTAGTAAAATTTACAATAAAGTATTTTAGAAGGTAAATAATAAACTTTTAACTTGTTGGCAGATAGCATATAAGAACTATTTCTAAATGATAAGCACCATAGCTCAAATTGTTATCTAAATTACAAGTTAAGACTAACCTGGTTACTCCAATTGGTACCTATATTTGACCTGCTATAGTAAGATTTTTTTTTATATAATCTGTTTTGCAATTAAATTAAAATATATCTCAACAGATAGTTCTTATTACCTATCATAACTACTTCCCTTTCTTTCAAACTTCTTTCACCTAGGTTCAGGCAAAATAGTTTAACTCTTATTCTTATATAAGAGTAAAAAATATATGCCAAGTTTACAAAAGATATAAATATTTAAAAAGAAAACACATAATAGAAAAAAAACATGAACAGAAAATCTAAAAGTATTTGATCATAAATAAACAAAAATAAAAAAATGAAAAAAAGAAAGATAGCTATAATACACTATTATAGCCTGTATCAGACATAAGGGTAAAAATTATATAATAACACAACTAATTACTATATCTCTATTGTAAAACATTCATTTTATTCTTGGAACTCGTTCTAGGCACCAACATGACTCAGGTATCTTCTAAATGGTGGTGGTGGTCTCTGTCCTGCACTGTAGCATTATATTCATAAATCAACAAAACACATAGTTGCCTTTTACTGAGTTTATTCCAATTTGGTAGGTGTAAACAATGCCGATCCTTAGAGAAGGTAAGCCAAAAAGCCCACTTTTTTAAAAATTATAGTGAAAAAGGCAAAAAATGAGAAAGTGGTAAAAAGACCAGAGAATAATACCAAAGAAGCATAGGTTTTCTTTTGCCAGAATAGAACCTTCTACCCAAGTCTGCACAGTAATAAGTTTTTTCAGTGAGTGATAAACTCTGAGCTTGTTGGCAGGTAGCATATAAGAACTACCTCTAAATAACAAGTGTCATGTTTACAATAAGTGATAAACTTTAAGACTGTTGGCAATTTTTTTTCCCATATCTTATATTAAGGCTCTTTTCAAACCAAACTATAGTGTATGTTATCTTTTTCTAGTAAAATATTTATCAAAAGTGGTGGTCTAAATAATTGTTGAAAAGAGTTGTTAATAATATAATATAATATAATTATTTATATATTATATTACAAATATTCTAAATAATAACTTCAAATACTAAATTTTTAAGGGTTAAGGTCTCATAGCCTAGTGGTCTGGGCACCTAACTCTCTACAGACGAGGTCAACGGTTCGATTATAGCTGGTAGTAATTAATTTAATTAATTATCTCTGTAACCTTTGAGAGCTTTCGAATGCGAAACTCTGTGATGGTAAGACCATGTGAGTATATATTTGGCCAATAAAGAATTGTTGAAAGAAGCCCCGAGCCATGGAGAAGACTGGGTACTATGTGTGACATGGGTTACAGAAGGTATTACTGCAGAACGCTGTGCGTGTGAATCTACAATTGGAAAGGTAGTATCAACAACCCTAAAGTGGCATTGGGATCTTGATTGGGGGGACAGCTGTATGCGGTATATCCAGAAGTGGTGAGAGAAGCGGTGAACATAATAAGAGGCTGTGGTAAGAAAATGGCTTTACCAAATATAGAACACCTCTGGCACAAGGAAATAAGGAAAACTGGCTAAAAGAAACCCCAAAAGTATGGAAGCAGACAATCCGGTAATACGAAAATAAAGACAGGCTAGGGAGTAATAATCGACAACCTATATGGGAGTCTATGACAAAACACGGCAGAGGCGCAGGTCCTGGGTTACTGGATTGTAACAGTAATTAAATGAGGTACTTGACTTCTGTCCTAAGGATCCAGACCCTGTATTACCATACCAATAGGGAGTACTATAAAAGGATCAGTAGCCTAATTTGGTGGTGTACGATGCAAATACCTGGATCGATGTGAAATAACACCTTAGTACGGCAGCAAATGGCTTGAGATACGAGTCTTATGACCTGGCAGCACCTGGCTTGAGATATAGATTAGGTTCTTAAAGTAGCTTCCCAGAGACACCAAATTGAAAGCACCAAGGGCACCTACTCAAAAGACACCAATTTGGAAGTGGTACAAGAAACGAATTAGGAGTAATGTGATAAGTACTGAGGGGTAGAAGTTGGCTGGTAAACATTGTACAGTAGTATATAAGCAGGATATATATGATAAATATAGGTTTGGGAACTATCCAGTGATTTAGTAATTGGTCTAATTGCAGGGTAGTTACACACCCCTACAATAAATTACCGGATTTTGGCGTAGCAGTAACGATCATTTTCGAAGATAAGTATTTTCAAAAAGCCTTTTGTTTCCCTTTTTGGCCAAGGCACAATTGTTAACCATATTCATAAAAACTGGATTTTTTTCTAGATTCTTTTCGTACCAAACATGCGTGGAAACAAATTGACAAATGAGCAAAGAGACCAAATAATCGGTGCTTATCTTGCGGGTTCAAATGCCCCAAAAATATTAGCTGCGCTGAGTATTGCCTGCACAACAGTATATGAAACTATAAATCGTTATAAAAAAACTGGTTCTCCATATCCTAAAAAACGATCTGGTCGTTCAAAAGTTCTTTCATCCCGTGACCAACGTCCTTTACAAAGAATTGTTTTAAAGGATAGATTTTCATCTTTTAATAAAGTTACAAACGAATTAAACCTCAATTTTAATACAACTTATCATCTTAATACCATTCGTAACTATCTTCATAATCTTGGTTTAAGAGGTTATGTTGCTCGTTTTAAGCCTTTTTTGAAGCATAAAGATCGTATTAAACGATTAAAGTGGTGTTAAGCAAAACGTAGTTGGAATAAGGAATGGAAACGTATTGTTTGGTCAGATGAATCGAGATTTGCTTTATTTAGATCTGATGGATGTGCAAAAGTATGGCAAAGAGTAGGGAAGAATATAATATAAACTGTATTAAACCTACTTTTAAATATGATGGTGGATCCGTGATGTTTTGGGGATGTTTT